AGAAGACTACCTACGCTTCATGCATGCCTAATCTAAATCTACAGTAGGGGTTTGCAAAGCGGGGGCAACTACGTACAAGTTAGCGCTTACCTGGTATTTCCCTTTGCTCTGCCGTTTCACGAGGCCACGGTCGAAAGCGTCGAGATACTGCGGCTGCACGACGACCGGATCTGGTGGTGGCAGTGCATCCGACTGTTCCACCACAATCTTCTGCTCGACCTGAATGGAAGTGCATTCACCTCGCCAAAGCCAGAAATCTGATGTTAACCGCACACACCTCTTCGGCCAATTCCTCCATTTCGCTGTCGGTGTAGTCCTCCTCGTCTTCGGAATCAGCTTCATCCTCCTCCTTCAGTGTCTCCGTTACTATCGGTGCTTTCGGTGGTGCTGGCGGCACAACTTCGTCCTCGCTGTCCTCAAACGAGGTTGTCTGCAAAAAATACTTCCTATGCGGGCTAATACTCAGATCGAGGGCAATACGTTGGCCGGGAAGTTTGCCACCCGAGTGTTTTGTGAAAATCTTTGTTTAGTAGAGCAGCTTCCTTGGAGTTCAAAGGTACGCACCATCTCCATCTACCGCTCCAGGTCAGCGCTCGAGCAGCTCTTCGATTCCCTGTTCTTGGAAGGACGGAGCTGGGTGGTTCAGGAGTCGACGACAGCCCCTCAAAGGAGGATTCCACGATAAGGTCGGGGAATAAGGGAAACTTACCTAGTGGAAAGACAGGCGGATCTCCAAGGGTGCGGACCGACACACAATTCGCAGCGAAGGATATGCCCCGGCGATCTAGCATGGCCGTCCCGCGCCGCTATCGCTGCGACACGCCCACCCTCTCGCCGTCTGAGCCTTTAATGATTTGGCAGAGAGAACGCTAGCGTTGATGGGACAGCTCCGATGAGACACGCTACGCGCAAATCAACGGACAACGGAGTTATATCCTCGGGTTCTAGGTCGTTTTTCTTGGTTTTTCTTCATCCCTGCATCACTGAAACTTCGCCTTGGTGGCACGGGTGGGGGTAATCGGATAGAACAGTCTCAGGGCTGTAGTCCTAATCACTAGTCGTGCGCCGGGATCAGTCCCCATCTTGCTCTCAACGATCCACATGCCACAGGCCCAGCCCACGTTAGCTGGAAAATGTTCGCTCAAGCCTCCTTCATGGGGTTCACCTACGATGGCTTATTGCCACTTCAGCGGCTGCGCAAAGAATGGGACGTAAAAAAGATGTTGGCAAGACCCCATCGCCTTCTCTAAAGTTGCAGGCTCTACGTCCTTCCTAGAGGAGCCGAATTAACAACTGCGTGCGCAGATCCGCGAAGGAAGATGCGTACCTCTTAAGGCGTTACGCCTACCCGCATTGTTTCAAAAAATTCTGAGCACGAAGTCTCTACCCACCTTCAAAAAGCCTGAGCAGCGAGCTTCCACCCAACCTATTGCCTTTTTTTGCAACACTCACCTGTACTGTGACATCGGTAGCAGCACTTGCGACGGACAGCTGATGGCTCGCTTCCAGTTCTGATTCCTCATCCGGATCGAAGCCCACCTATAAATTACTCCGCTTAGAATTACAATGGATAGTTACCCTGACTGGAAACCAAATATCACTAGGTCATGAAATGATGATGGACAAGAGGGCTTTTTCTCAGCCTGTAGGGTTTTTATTCATCTCGATCATTTTCTGCCTCAAAAGAGGTAAGAAAAGATGGATTCACCTCGACGCTATGCCACGGCCGCTCTCCATATCCTGCCCGAGAAAGCTTATCTGGCCTCTTAGGGGCGACGGGCACTTTTGGCACGTCGAACGCCGCTCTTTGTTGATTTTTTCTAGCAACTTCCTTAAAGAATAGCGGGATTGAGAAGGCATGCGGAAAGTGTTAGTAGAAATCAATAGCTCTTTGTTTTTGTGTTTGTTTTTCTGGCCATTGCACTTACCTGACTCCTTTGCTGGACGAGTTTGCTCGTCTCTCGTTGCACCTGTTCTGGCTGTGCTGCTGAAATCGAACCGTTCAACGATTCTGCAGGTGGATCAGCTGATGACGAACCTATAATACTCTCCAACAACTCTTTCACCATCGGTCTGGCGTCGTACATCGGATGTGCTTTGATTCTAGCAACGAGATTCAGACTGACTGGTCCTTTCTCCATTTGCTCAAGCACCTGAAACTGAAGCCCGTTCTGAAGATATTCGAATGTGAAGAGCTACCACCCACCTGGTTCATCAGCATATTGAGTGAGTCGATCTCGAGTCGATACGCAGCAGCAGACATCGGTGTTCGAGGAGTAGGGGCTAGCCGCCTGAAACCAACAACTTGAACTGGTCAGCGCAAACACGGATGTGAGGTGAGAGCTAAGCTCACTTTGCCGGAGCGACTATCGTTTCTGGTTCGTTCGTTACTGGTACGAACGAAGGAGCGCGAGATGTCGCTTCTTGCCTAGCCTGCACGCGAACAGGTGGTCTGAAATGAAGACTATGAGCATGTGACCTCATGCCCATGTATTCAGCTGAAAACTAACTCATTTCGAGCCGGTGCTGGTTTCGGATCTTCTGGTTGTTCAGGAGACGTTCGCCGTTTCTGTTCCACTGTTTGGGTAGCTCCGGTAGCTTTAGCCGCAGGAGGTGAGTCTTGCACTGGCGGCCTTGAAAAATAAAGAGCTTCAAAAGCAGGTTCAGCTTACAGTTTGTTATTGAACATTTGCTACTGAAAAACATCTGCAGCTGAGTTAGGGCTCACATAAGTAACAAATAATAAAAACCGTAGTAACAGGATTAAAGGCCGTACCGCATGATTTCGGACCAGTGAAAGTCCACTCATATTCAAGGGTGGTTATAAAATAAGCTATTTCACATTCATTCCGCATCAAAAGGAAGCCTGCGTTTTCAGCAAAAATTTCAGGAGCTTCGTTGATAGTACATTACGCGATTGAATAGGTATATGTTAGTGTATGCGAAAATTGGAGTAGTTGTGGCCCATTAGTCTCACCCTTAGGCGCGATGAGTGTGGTTTGCGCTCCACGTTTACGAAATTCTTACTGATTCGTCCCATCTCTACCATAACTTACCGCGTCAAAGGTGACGTCAACCAAAGATTTCCGCAGAACCGAGGCGTAAACCCCGCTCCCCCCCCCCGAAGATCAGTGCGCAATGTGATTCCAACAGTTCTTAGGGTTTTTTTTCTTTCTCTTTCATTACTAATGAACAAAATTACCTCTACTGAATTCATGCTAGTGCAATGACACTCATTTGTTCAACCTCAGTGGTTACAAGGCTTCTGTCAACCAAAGGGTGAGAGCGTAGCTGGAAAAGCACACACTTTGTGTCTTATTGGGACTAAGCCTTTTGAAGAAGATAAAGAAAGAGGAGATGCTGTGATAGTGTGCACTTGTGAGAGCTCCCAGACATCACTACAAAACGCTGAACCGCCAAGGCTCACGGTTGACAGATGTCCTGAGACCAATCGCAGTGTGCCTTTAAGTTTTCGATTTTCAGAATTCCACCAAATTTGGTGGAAGATGGAAGTCTTTAGTCTAAAGACAAAGTAGAAACCTTATTTGAGGGCAGGAATAATTCCAGAAAACGTCAGGGGACTGCTCCACATAAGATGTTTGCGTGGAGCAAAAGCGGGCCTTTGCTCTAATGACTCCATCTCAGTTATGTAACACATATTGCTGAGGTTGTAGTTGGCCTCCTTGTTTGACCCCAGAGCTATTTTTCCATTCAATTACCGCGAAATCATTTCAGTTAGCACATGTGCCTCTTTTGCTCCTCTTTCTGCTTGCCTGCGGTACTTTCAAGAGACCCTACCGTCATTAATGTAATTTATTTTCTCATCGCTTTTATTTATTTTTCGTATCCAATGCACCCAATTGCAAAAGTGGTTACCAGAAATTACTTCAGATAGGAAGCAGTGATTTTGCAATGGACTGAAGTAGGTTCGAACGACTCTATTCATTTCGGATCAAAATAGAAGGCGTGGCGCAGCCGGTGTACGTCATGAACCAGATATCGATCAGTAGCAAATAAGTCACATCAGCGAATGGATAAGTTGGTCCCCAATTTACTTGTCCCTCTACTTGTGTTGGAGGCGCTTATTCGCTGAGTCAGAGCTACCAATTAGCCTCGGATAAATTCGCTAATCCGGACAGCCCAGCGCAGTCATGCCCACTGTTGGTGACGCACTAGGTTCGTTTTTGTTCAGCGATCCGCTACTATCATTCATTCCGCATTTCAGCGTGATGGATGGAATCTCCAATTTTCTCCGAGAGCTGTCAGTTGATAAAATTCCTTGATGTCTTTTGGAATCCATCTTTAAGTTGCCGAAGAACTTCTGCTGGATGTCCGAAAGGGCTAGGTTCCTTCCTTTATTCGTTCCTCACGTCTGGCCATTCCAGAGGCTTTACCTACTCATTCTCGCTTCCACAAAGGTTTCATCATTAAGCTGCTTCAATCGCATCCGCGGAGACTTTGGTTTCCAAGCTGAGCCCAGGTTCTCTCTTTCACCGTCAACCTCGTGCCACCTGCGTAATGCGTAATTCCAGGTGATCTTGTTATACAGGGTCCGGCAAATACCCGCGGCTACTTCCACACAATTCCAGCAATCACCTGCCAGCTCACACTTTTCGATAACTCTCACTTTTCGATTTTTACCTCTCTGGCTAAGACCAGTGGCAATCCACATTACAATTGTGCCACCTTGATCTTGAGTTCTTTCGAGTTGGCTAAAATTATCATTTTAGCTCGTTCCTTTGGCCAACACCAGACCGCTGATGCCAAAACGAGTTCTCGAATTCTATTTTATCGAATGTCACTCCAGTTGTTGGTCGAACGTCCCGGTACGGTAAAGGACCCCGGAATTCGTAACTTTCTACACTAATTGTAAGACTGATCGAATCAGCTCTAGTGCACCCTTCGCGCAGGCCATAATTCGTGATCATGACTATAAAATTCCGTCGATATTCTCCATTTCTGCTCACATAGACTAGAAAGAGGACACCGTTTGCAGTAGCGCTGTGATGCAGACGTTAGGTATATCAACCAAGCTAACAATATTTTGCGCTCGATGATTTTCACTTGCTTGCTAAGAACTGGACGAAATCCCAAGGCACCGCAGGCGAAAATTCCTGCGGGGAGGGGCAAAAAAAATTCAACAATAGCCACTCTGCTCGGAAAAAACCTCCTGAGAACACAATCTGAGATCTTTCTCGCTGCCAATGCCGGCTCTGAGAGCCTTATGGAATCTTAGACGATTCTGGGAAACAGACCCATGTAATTAACATATTGTAAACACCTCAAGCCTTTTTGATTGTTTGATTAAAGATTACTAACACTTCTATGTAAATCTAATAAGGCTGCCTAGCAACAATTCTGTGAACATGAGAATAACAATGAAACGTTCTGCCTTTTGAATAATCCTTTCAAGGCACTGCTTTCTCTCTCGTTCAAAAGTGCACTTCAGATAGGAAAAAGATTCCCGCAAGAGAACTGTACCCTGGTGCACAATGTGGAGATTTTGTTAACACATTGGCAACAGCGAGACGCGCCTGCGCGTCACATTTTGTGCAGATCGATTCGCCCTGCTTAATCTGTTCCTCTGTTCTATTTTTCATGTCCTCGAACTGTTTTCATGACAATATATACCGTGTATTACATTCATGCCTCATTAGGACCTAATATCATAATATTGTATGGGGAGAGCATTCGGAAGGCGGAAGACTTCAAAGGAATTTTTTCAAATGTTTCTTGGGTTCTTTGAAAGTTTTTGGAATTTTTAGATTTCGGAGATTTGTGAACTTTTGGAACTCTTTTGGAATAAATTTTGGTGCCTCTTTGTGTTATACAATCTTTAGCAAAGGAATTACTGGAAGAGTAGCGATAGTTCTAGAAGAAAATTAATCAAAAAGAAAACGAAGTGCACGCCCAACGGGCTGTCGTCAATGTGTCAAATAGGGTTCTTTTCGACTGTCGACACGCTTGTTTAAGCTCTTCAAAGTTAAGCCTGCTATTTATTTTCCAGATTTTCCTACAGGCGACGGAAGGAGCTGCATGAAATTGCACGCATTCGTTTCGCTTTGGGTGGCAGCCATTTTGATGGCCGTTCTCGAAGCGGCTCCGAAACCTTTGGTGAGTGGCTCATTTGAACCGACTCTCATGGGTTAGCGATGGGGTTGTAGTTTTCTCCGTATAGAGCAAGGCTCGTATTATCTATGTATTAGGTTATCAGATAAATTCGTAAGCTTTCTTATTTTTCAAACCTATACAACAAAGTAGTAAGATCAGTACTGTATATTGAAAAAATTTAGCTAGCATTTAATTGGCTGTTTCAAATTTAGATGATATGGTGAACCCAACTCCTGTCAAGAGTAACAAACTGCCATGGTGGTGCTTAAATTCAACCAAAAAGGGCATGTCTGACATGTCCTGTTTTATGAGCGTAATCGAGGCGCAAATGCATCTCGACTGGCTAGAAATTTTATGGGCGTGTATGAAGAAACACTCGATTCGGAAGACCGCTCAAAATGGTGTTTCGGTTGAAGAACAACAATTTGGCTCGCTACGCAGTTTATTCTAGACGTCCAATTGAACTTGATGGCTGAAGCCACCAAGCGAGCGCTTAGAATCTTTAGAGAGAGTTCAAAAGTGCAGCGCGTGACGCGCTTTGGTACTACAACCCCGGACCACATCCCGTACCCGTACCAGAATGACCATTTAGGAGCTGCGTTGGGAGAATCCCTCTATTTATTTCATTGCCACGACGGAGCACCCTTTACGCTTTTATTCCGTTGCCATCATTGTCCAACATGCTCCCTGGTGTTTCCTTTGATCA